CAGACGTTCTTTGATTAAAAGAAGTATCTTGATAAGATGATCTGTGCCTAATGATTTTTCGTTACCATTTTCTTGGTTTGATTAATAGTGAGCGGTTTTTACATATACACCAAGGCAGCGGCACAAGATTCAGGTGAACAAGCTCGACTAGATGCCGTCAAGGCAACTGCACCTCCTACTGGCGCCTGTGTTAGATTTTGGTATCACATGCACGGGTCACGCATGGGGAAATTGACGGTGTACACAGGTGACGAGAAAGGGGGTCTTGGCCCTTCTCGTTGGTCCAAGAAAGGTGATTCTGGTGACTACTGGCAGGAAGCATCGATAAATATCTACCCAGGAAGTGAATTTCAGGCAAGGAATGGTGCAGCAGATGAGTAGATTTCTGCTTTAAAACTCATTAGTATATTGAATTCGGGGCCATCTAAAAATGTTTGTATGCAATATGGTGATCATTCATAAGTTTGTAACTCGAGGCTCTGTGATAAACTGTGACGATGAATTAAATCTACAAAAATGTTAGGCGTATTTTCCCCTTTATCTTCAGAGAGATATTAAGTCCTTCTTTGAAGAATCTTTCTTTGTGTCATTTCCGTAGATTACTTTCGTTGGAGAATGTAGAGCAAGCTATGGAAATGATATTGCCATTGACGACATCGTCGTTTTGGAAAGGCAATGCAGTACGTATCGTTTGTCGTTAGGTTAAGATATATTTCTCGCGGTAAAAAAAGCTGCACCTACTATATTAAACATTTCAAATCTTGAAAACTTGGTACAGCCTTGAAAACTACCGACAATTATGAACAGTGTGGGAGGTCTGGAGGCAAGCGCTTAGCTTGTATGTCGATTGTTGAGAGCCTCGGCCTCACTCTGTACTGACTTGGTCTTGGCCTGGGTCTCGGCACCTTCTAGACTCAGTACGCCAAGGCCGGTTCAAGGCCTACCGTTTTGTCTAGGTTTTCTGAACTATTACTTGTCTTAAAAAAATTCATCTTGACAATGTACACAATACTTATGACGCACACTTTGCATATAGCGTTGACATGGATATTTTTGGTTCACAAAATCTCGGTATGGTACCTTGACTGTTTAGTGACAGTATTCAGCTAAATGAATTTTTGTCCCCAGAGACCATATTTATTATTGTTGCTTGAAAAGGAAAGCATTTGAGTTGCGTTTGATGCATACAGTCATCATAAGTTCTGCGAAAAAAGAACGTGAAGTCTTCGATGGGGGACATTTTTTTAAGTGGCATTTTAAAAGGCTTTCCATCATGTTTACAAGTGGGTATTATTTCTGGAAAAATTTAGAGCAGAAGCACCTACCAAGATAATGTTAAATCGTCGGAGTTGGTACATTTGGCTGCTAAGCCACCCCAATTTTTCGAATGGCCGGTACTGATAAGGCGTGTGCGCCGAGTGGCAGCTCATGATGTTCGTCTGCATGCGAAAGCTTCCCCTGTGTCACCGTGCATGGAACAGGATGGACACGGATTGCCTTTTGTGATTGTCATTCACATGTCATAAATTTATGGTTAGCATGAAGCGCTCTTTGTGCCTTTCGAGAGAAATGACATATATTATCAATATATAGAACCACTCCCGACTTTTTCTTTTACTTCGGGGGGGGGGCAACTGCATGTGCAACTATTTCTTAATTATCGACTTTCTGACTTATTTTTTGTTAGGAATTAATTGACTGCAGCTCTTGGGATCTTATGCTTGTTATTCAAAATTATAAAAATTATTTCGTGGGGAACTGTTTGTGCGTAGGCCTGTTGAGAGCAATTAAAGCATTAATATATTTTCTCATTTTACGGTGAAAGGAAATGACATCTACGACAGTGTTTGTTTACAAACATCTAGCATTCTTTTGCGCACCTATCAATGCAATATTTAAAGGTTTTTGTGCTTTGGATACCATAAAGTTACTGAGAAATATGAAAATGTGCATTAGAATAAAAACCAAAAAGCTCCCCAAATGGGTTAAAATTGCAAAATTAACATTTAAAATCAGGTCAATTGAAACCCAAAGGTACGGCTTTGCAGGTTTCAATAAATGTTACTGAAATATTTTCTATTTCATGGTCCTTTTATTATCAAAGTTTTTGTTTGTCCTTAGGCTCGTATGCCACCTTCTCAGATCTGAAGTGTGATTTTGATTCCAAATCCTTTTGTGCGTACAACAACAGCCAAAACGATGACTTTGACTGGCTACTAAATAGCGGTTCAACGTTCACTGGAGTCACCGGGCCCGATGAGGACCATACCAAAGGAGATTGTAAGTAAAAGACGATGGAGTAGTGAGGGTGAAGAGTCAAGAGCTGCTTCAATGTACTGCAGGGCTGAAGCAGCTACAGTATTGCTTTTGTTAAAGTATTTGGCTTTTTCGCAACTTGCGGAAAAGTCTCTTTTGTTATTTTTTCTTATTTGGCTTTTTGCAATTTTGTGAAAAAGGCGTTATTTCTGTCCTTTTTGGCATTTTCGCAATTTTTCGAAAGAGACATTACTTCTGCACTTTTTTTATATAGCTTTTTGAAACTTTGGTAATAAGAGTTTTTGTCCTTTTTTTTCTTGCAAGTTCGTAATTTTTCGAAAAAGCATTACTTAAGTTCAGTTTTTTAAGCTGGTGGAAACAGCTTTTGTTTTTTTAAGATTTCTTGGCTTTTCCGCAGGTTGCGGAAAAAGGTATTCTTTTGGTCAAAAATGTTTTGTCTTTTAAAAAAGTTGCAGAAAAGGCATTCTTTTTGTTAAGTTTTTTTGGGGGCTCTTTCGCTGCTTTTCGTAAATGACATTGTTTTTATCCTGTTTTTTGCTCTTTCACACTTTTGCGAAAAAGGTTTTACCTGTTTTTTGCCCATTGGATTTGTGCACGTTTTCAAGATAATACTAGATCAGTTACGTCATGATGATGCCAACAAGTCATTGATTATCAAATGAATGTTAGTTTTTACAAATCCGTATAAAGCCATTCGTGGTTTCCCACAACATTCCGTTTGCAGTAAGTGCGAGAGAAAAATTGGGTCTTCAATTCATCTCGCGTGGGTCAAATCACGTGACCCTTTCCTCCAATCAAAACCGGAAGTGGGCTTATTGTTTAAAAGTGGTAATAGATATCAACTTGCTTTTAACGGTGTTAGTCGGTGGGGGTATTGTGTTCTTCAAAACATCTACTGATGTCATGTAATTGTCGATTGTACACTTTGTACACGTTTTCAAGCCACCATTTTATGGTAGTTTTGAGATCTTTCATCGTCCTCGAAGGTACAGCCGACAAAGACCCTGATAAAATGAATTTTCCTAAG